AATAAGTAAGAGTGAAAATTAAAAAAGAAGGGAAAGAAAAACTAAGGTTGAGTAGGATAGTTAAGTGTATAAATGTTTTCTTTTTTCAAGTGAACGATATCACGTGATGTTATTGTTCATACTGTTCATTCGAACAAGTAAAACCACCACACGTTTTAGTTTATAAGTAATAATTTAATTCTATTGGATTGACACAATGGCCAAGGATAAAGTCCATAAACAAAAATATAAAAATAAGTATTATTTAAAAAATTGATGAAAACATTAGAATAATTTGGAAGATGTGTTTTCAAAATTGATTGAAAAGGAATTTAATCTCAATTCACATCAAGCCAATGCGAATGATATATTTTTCAAACCATTTGAAAAAATAATAATAATTTGAATTGATATATAAACTAATTTAAAAATATTTTTATTGTCGAATAAAAAAAAATGTAATGAAATATAATTTTGCACATGATTTTCGATGATTCTAGTTAATATAGATGTCTTGTTCCTTATAATTAAATATGCATCCTCAAATTAATATTTAATCATAGATTAGAGTATAAAACTAGTTTACAAGTGGCAAGTTGTACCTAAACAACTCTAGCATTCCATAGTTTGGAGGAAGTAAGAAGATTCAGTGGGCCGAGCAAGGCTATGTCTTCGGAAGTCTAATTTTAGGACTTGTCCCAAGCCATTGTATCTGGGGGCAAGCCTGGCCTCCGCATTGCACAAAGTCGTGATAAAAGACACATAATTGCACAAAGTCATGATAAAAGGCACATAATTGTCATATGACAAACAATATACAATGCCCAAACTCTCAGAAAACGAAAGGAGAAACACTCACCAATAGGGTCAATGAGGTTGTGTCAGTGCTCTTTCCTTCTTCGTCCTCTCTCTCTCTCTCTCTCTCTCTCTCTCTCTCTCTCTCTCTCTCTCTCTCTCTCTCTCTATATATATATATATATATATATATATATATATATATATCATGTTCCAAAATTTCATAATTACTATTTACTTATAAATTTTAAATTAGAATAGAAAAAAAATGAAGTAATTTAGTTTTCTTTTTTATGGCACACTAAATCATATACGAGCAATTTGAATTTAATAATTTACAGTAACGAAAAATAAAATGATCTCAATCCAAGATTTTAAATATAAACCATTTGAGTCTTAAACTTCTGTTTTTTAACGGTTGGATTGATGCAATATTTAAGGGTTTCGTTCATATTTAAACTATGTAATCTTTTTATAATGATTAAGAAATTTTATTCTTCATTTTGTGTTGTTCAAAACTTTCTATTGTAATATTGTTTGTTGTATACTAAAATGACAATGATAATCCATGACATGTGTCATGTGTAATATATTGACATGGCACGTCCACTTCTAAATACGTGATATATGTTTTACATAAGATTTTAATTAAAAAAAAACAACATATATGGATTTGGTTGTACAAACTTTAGAAATCATGGACCAAAACATTTTTATGGAAATTTTGAAGACCAAAAAATTATAAATAAAGAATCAAAGTATAAAAATAGTATAATTTTAGGAATAAAAATAACTTTTTTGAAATTTACAAGGACTACAATGAAATATTTTGAAAATTTATTTTTAGTGATTATTAAATGAGTAATAAATAAATAAGTATTAAAAAATAAAAAATTACAAATATTTGATCAATTCAAAGTAAAAAATAGGATTGCTCTCTCTCTCTCAAAAAAAAAAAAAAAGAAGAAGCAAACTTAGGATTGCATCAATTTTCTTCTTTGATATAGATAATTATTTATTAGTTAACATTATTATTTTTTTTTTAATTTTTATGAATATATTCGTACTCTATTTTTTTAATTCCATATCAGATCATCTTGTATGTATTTTATTATATATATATATATTACTCATTATAGCTATATTGTGATGAGATGTTACATATGATACATATTGCGATATTTAAGATGAGGTTTTAAAAATATAATAATATAAAAAAAATTAAAAATAATAATTTAATGTTTATAATTTTTAAATTGTTTTGATTGATTTTTTTTTTACTGAAATCATACATATAACATGTATCACACATTGAGACATAAACATATCATATCAATATTATATTAGTTCGTAAGTAATGTTGTTATAGCATATAGGATAAACACAACATAGACTAAAGAACAAAAAATCTTAATTAATAATAATAAAAAAATGGAATCTGGGTCAAAATAATTTGAAAAATAAAAGATTGATCCATGGACAAAAGCCATGCATTTAACTAGTGTTATTGGTTAAGTTATAAACGTGAAAACGCTTACAGAGAGTTGATTAAATATGGTTCAAGTTATGGCAACCACAAATAATTGAAGAGAGTTGATTTTTACATCCTTCTAGACCAACTGAACTTGGAAAATGCATGGGCCGCTACACCAGAGATAGATACATCCGAAAGCAACGTTACCACCTTTTTCCAATTTTGACCAAAGACTTATTCATTGGATCAGATCAGAATAATCAACTTTCCACAACAAACCATAGTGATTGAGTAAAGGAAATCCAAAGGCATGAACCTTCCTTTCGAGTTGCTGCCTAGTTTACATCACGACACCAACCCATGTGTTGAGTCTGTTGACCAAGACTCGTGCCAATACTGCCCATAAACATATATAGAACTACAGAACTACCCTTCAAAAGTTAAGACGAAGAACTCTACTTGTGCAATTACAATTGGTTAGTTAAAGCTGGGTTAACTAGCTGAGTGCCTCAGTCAACAAAGAACCTAATCAGGAGAGTAGCTGTAAGAGATTAGTTCTGGAACAACCGGACCCACTGATGTTCTTTCTATTACAGACGCTTGTTGACTTTTTAGTGTGAATGCAACAATTGCACCACCTATGCAATTTTGTTTGCTCATAATTTAAAATTTTTCTTCTCAATTCTTGCCGTTAAAATATTCTGACTATTCTTCGCGAATAATATTTATTTTAAGGAATTTGTACTCTGATAAAACAAAATCTAGATGCGATAATGATGGATATTCTCCAAAACTTATTATACCAGAAATTCTTTCCCAAGAGAGTATAGACACATAAAATAAATATTATTTATTCAATATGAAAATTTTATTATTATTTTTTATGATTTTGGATATAATTTTTTTTATGTGTCTATCTACCTTTTCAAAATGGATTCATGAAGTAATTACTATACATGTCACTAATCACTTTTTGAGTATTGTAAAAAATTTTAAAGTATATAAATGTATTTGTATAGGTTTTTTTATTCCTAAGATATCTCGCATTTAAAAATTCGGACTAATTATTTATCGTTCGATCAAACGTATAAAACAAGTACAATTATTCAAAAATTATATATATATATATATATATACTCGAATTCAGATTATTTTTTTAAATGATTAGAGTTTTTTTTTTTTTTCAAACCGACCCCCTTGGATATGATTTTTTTTTAATCCATCTAAGTAACTTTCTTTTTTTCAATTTAAGAAGCTGTGTTTTTTCAGATTTTCCAATCACATAAAGTTCAAATTTGGCAATTTGTAGCAACGATAGCATGCCTATCAAGGAATTCTTCATACTTTAGAGGATACCATTTGCACAAACCTATGGACTCAAATTAAACTCGATAGTTCTTTTTTACCCTGAAATCTACAATACCTTTTGATGTCAAGCTTGGTTAGCTCAGTGCCACAGTCAACAAAGAACATATTCAGGAGGGTAAATGTAAAATATTAGCTTCTAGAACAACCGGACCCACTAATCCTCTCTCTCCCCATTACAGAAAGGTTATTAACTTTTACAGCCACATCCAGAACAATGCAATACATTAGTTTTCCGCCACAGTCCATGTAATCCACCTCCTTAATTTTATGCGTGAATGCATGACTAATACTATCTAAGTAATTTTGTTTTTTTCCATAGTTTATTTATTTTTTTATTCAACATTCTTTCTGTAAAGATTCTGATCATATTTGTCTTGGTAAACAATATTTATTTAAGAAATTTGTATTCACAAAACAAAATCAATTTGAAAGATGCGACAATGTTATGACAACGACTGATATTCTCCAAAAATTATAACCTAAAATTATTATAGGCATTATGCCTAAAAATTCCTTCAATCTAGAAAAAAAAAATTGTAAGAGAATTTTTAAAAACTGCTATGTAGATTTTTTTTTTTTTAATCACCAAGAGATGTGGTTTAACGGTAAAAAAAATTATCTTGATTTAATCAAAACTAAAGTTCAATTCTCATTATATACAGATGAGTAGTTATAATTATTTTTTACTATACTAGAATTTAGTTTATTTGGTTTAAGAGAGAGTCCAATAATTGATTATAGGTTAAGTGTATTTTGATGTTGGTTTAGTCTGAAAAATGATAAATTTAATTTCGGTGAATACAAAAACTAACCCAAAAATACTTATACATATATATTCACAAGACAAACTATATACTACACCATAAGATCCATCAAAATAACTTTCTTCCGTTTTGAGCAACTAATTAAATTTTCAGAATTTTCCATTTTACAAACTATCATATTTCAATTGTTATGATAGCCAGGAACAATAGCATGCTTATCAAGGAATTCTTCTTACTTTTTGGTATACCGTTTGCTCATACCTAGTGGACTAAAAATCCAATTGCTCTGTTTTATCCTCAAATCACTACTACGCTTTGATGTCAAGCTAAGGTCCTACATAAAATCATTTGGTAGATTTAATTGAAGTAATTGATCCGTGAAAGACCCAATTACTTTACTAGTCGTTGACTCTTCCAATCACTTTCAGCAGTGCATATGTAATTATAGTCACTCTCAGTGTCGTTTCGCCCACCAAAACAGATCATGCATTTATACCCAGCATTTCCCCTCATCTTCCTTCGCCATGAGCCAACCAAATTTCACAGCCTCCTGTTAGGTCTCCCCCTTCTCTTCCCGGCAAAATAAACCCAACCGGAAAAACCACCTGAAACCATTCAGAATGTCCAAACTACCTCTCCAATTTCTCAAAACCCCACTCCTCCTCTCCATTCTAGTCCTAGTTTCCCTGGCCTTCCAAGTAATTTCCCAAAATGTCAACACTGAAAAAACTATCCTCCTAAACCTGAAGCAGCAACTCGGCAATCCACCGTCCATTCAGTCCTGGAACTCATCATCCTCACCGTGTGATTGGCCAGAGGTAATCTGTGTCGAAGGCACGGTGGCTGGACTTGAGCTAGATGATAAAAACATTACAGAAACAATCCCAGCTACAGTTTGTGACCTAAAATACCTGACATATCTCAACCTGAGTTGGAACTACATTCCAGGAGGATTTCCAAAAGTTTTGTACGACTGTACAAAGCTAGATTACTTGGACCTGTCTCAAAACTACTTTGTTGGTCCAATACCTGATGACATTGATAAACTATCAAGTCTCAAGCATATACACCTTGAGGGTAATAATTTCACAGGCAGTATTCCACCACGGATAGGCAACTTGACAGAGTTGCAAACGTTGTATCTGCATCAGAATCAGTTCAATGGTACGTTTCCTAAGGAGATTGGTAAGTTGTCCAATCTTGAAGAATTGGCTTTGGCGTTCAATGAGTTTGTGCCCTCTTCAATTCATGTGGAGTTTGGTCAGTTAAAGAAGTTGAAGTTACTGTGGATGAGACTCGCGAATTTGATTGGTGAAATCCCGGAGAGTTTGAGCAATCTTTCGAGTCTTGAGCACTTGGATTTAGTTGGAAATGATTTGGAAGGTAAGATTCCTGATGGGTTGTTTTTGTTGAAGAATTTGACTTATTTGTATCTCTTCCAGAATAAGTTGTCTGGTGAGATACCTCAGAGAGTTGAAACGTTGAATTTGACGGACATTGATCTTGCAATGAACCAATTGAATGGTTCGATTCCAGAAGATTTTGGCAAGTTGAAGAAATTGCAACTTCTGAGTCTGTTTGAAAATCACTTGTCTGGTGAGGTACCACCAAGCATAGGCCTTCTTCCTGCCCTGACAGCATTTAAGGTTTTCACCAACAACTTGAGTGGAGTCTTGCCGCCTAAAATGGGCCTTTATTCAAGACTTGAAGAATTTGATGTTTCAACCAATCAATTCAGAGGCCAACTTCCTGAAAATTTATGTGCTGGAGGTGTGTTGAAGGGTGTAGTTGCCTCTGAAAACCGTCTCTCTGGGCAGGTGCCTCAATCTCTTGGAAACTGCAACAGTTTGCACTCGGTCCAACTTTATAGCAACAACTTTTCAGGTGAGATACCTGCAGGCATTTGGACAGTCTTCAATATGACTTACTTGAGGTTAAGTGACAATTCCTTTTCGGGGGGCTTCCGAGCAAGCTGGCATGGAATTTGTCAAGATTGGAACTCAGCAACAACAAATTTTCAGGTCCGATTCCTCCTGGAGTCTCCAGCTGGGAGAAGTTGGTTGTTTTCAAGGCGAGCAACAATCTGTTTTCTGGTGAAATTCCTGCGGAAATAACGAGTCTGCCTTACCTTTCAAATCTTCTGCTTGATGGAAATCAATTTTCAGGTCAACTACCATCCAAGATAACATCTTGGAAGTCATTGACTAGTTTAAATCTCTCAAGAAATAATCTTTCTGGCCAGATCCCAAACGCGTTTGGGTCCTTACCTGACCTGCTTTATTTAGATTTGTCTCAAAACCATTTTTCTGGGGAAATCCCTCCTGAATTTGACCAGTTGAAACTTATTTTTCTCAATTTGTCCTCCAATCGTCTATCTGGGAAAATCCCAGATCAGTTTGATAACCTTGCCTATGATAACAGCTTCCTGAACAATTCTAAACTCTGTGCTGTTAATCCAGTTCTAAACCTTCCAGATTGCTATACCAAACTTCGTGACTCTAAAAAATTGCCCTCTAAAACTCTTGCCTTGGTTCTGGTTTTTACTGTGACCATTTTTCTGGTCACTATTATAGTCAGCTTGTTTATGGTTAGGGACTACCAGAGAAAAAAGGCAAAACGTGATCTGGCAGCATGGAAGCTGACTTCATTCCAGCGACTGGACTTCACTGAAGCAAACATTTTGGCAAGTTTGACAGAAAATAATCTGATTGGAAGTGGAGGATCAGGAAAGGTGTACCGGATTGCCTCAAATCGTGCAGGTGACTTTGTTGCTGTCAAGAGGATTTGGAACAACGACAAAATGGATCATAAGCTTGAAAAGGAATTTGCGGCAGAGGTTCAGATACTGGGAACAATTAGGCATGCAAACATAGTTAAATTATTGTGCTGTATTTCAAGTGAGAGCTCAAAGCTTCTTGTTTATGAGTACATGGAGAACCAAAGCCTAGATAGATGGCTTCATGGGAGGAACAGAAGTTCCTCGATGGGTACAAGTTCAGTCTATCATTCTGTCTTGGATTGGCCCACAAGGTTCCAGATTGCCATCGGAGCTGCACAAGGCCTATGCTACATGCACCATGACTGTTCCACTCCTATCATTCATCGAGACGTGAAGTCTAGTAATATCTTGTTGGATTCTGAATTCCAGGCAAGAATAGCAGATTTTGGACTGGCCAAAATGTTGGTTAAGCAAGGAGAGGCTCATACCATGTCTGCTGTAGCAGGTTCTTTCGGTTATATTGCTCCTGGTAAGAGCATTCAACATCTCCACTATTCACTGTTCTTGTAATTCCAACTCTTTCAGAATTTTGAGATCACCCCATTTAAAGCTCTTTTTTTTTTTTTATTCTCATTTTTTATTGCAGAGTATGCCTATACAACAAGAGTCAATGAGAAGATCGATGTCTATAGCTTTGGAGTTGTACTCCTGGAATTGGCAACTGGAAGAGAACCTAACAGTGGAGATGAGCATACCAGCCTTGCAGAATGGGCGTGGCAGCAGTTTGGACAGGGAAAGCCTGTCGTTGATTGCCTTGACCAGGAGATTAAGGAACCATGTTTCTTGCAGCAAATGACCACTGTATTTAACCTAGGACTCATTTGCACTCACTCCTTACCGTCCACCAGGCCTTCTATGAAGGATGTTTCGGAGATTCTGCGCCGATGTTCCCCAGACGGTAATGGAGAGAAAAAGACGGGAGCCGAGTTTGATGTTGCTCCTCTTCTTGGAAATGTAACTCGTCTTTCTATATGATGATGATGGTTAGCTTAGTTTACAGCTTATGACGTATCATAGCTCTGAATTTTGATTTTTTTTTCTTTTTGTTAAATAAAATGTACAATAGTCATGAAATAATTCCTGGTCTTTTCCCAGTTTCCACAGGCCAAAGCAGCCTCCTATTTCTGATGGTTATGTCGAATCAGAATTCAACAATTTTTTGTTTCAGATCCTTAGTTAACGTATTCGAATTAGCGGAGCGAACCTTAAGACTCGTCCTTGATTACGTGGAAACTAAATTGTTGAGTACTTTTAGTGAAACACTTCAACAACACTCCTGCACCATTTCAGAGATTACAGTAGAAAGATGCCACCAAACTGCAACATATAATGCTCAGGTTTCGCCAGGAACACACCAAAATTTGTCCCCTTCAATGGTCTAGATAGAGTACGAAAAGAAAACTTTATATCAAAAGTATAGTATACAGACCAAAAACCCTTTACAAAATCACACCAAGTAGATCTTGTTTGCAGCATAATTGATTCCAAATAAACATTTCGTTGGCAGGAAACTATCCGCACCCACAAGAAAGAGAGAGAGAGAGACAGAGCGGAAAGAGAGATAGAGAGAGAGAAACTGGCCTAAGCTAAATTTCCTACGGCCACAAGGAAACAACAAATACAACACTAACAGCGCTCGAAGTCTTCAAAGCACCAGCCTGCTCAACAGCTTCTTGGCACCAGCAAATTCACAGCTTCTTCCAACCGCAGCAATAAAACACACCCTAAACTTGGCCAAACCACCGAGCTATTCACAATTTAATTCATGGCTGACCTGTCCCAGTCCAGAGGGTAGTGCCAAACACACAGCAAGAAACCCGCACCGAATTCCAGCAATTAATGTTTCACTTACCTAGTAGCTGGTCCTCTCCTTTCTGAACAGTGATCCCATTAAACTGTTCCGCCTTCCCAAATATTACGCAGTTGACTTCAGACTCAACCTGAAAAAAGAGAGCCATGCAACCAACCAAACAGGACAGCATAAAGATACCATGATTAACATAATGAAAATCAGGGTTTTAAAATGCATGCCTTATCATTGGCTTCTGCAAAGATTCTGACCTAGCACCATCTTGAGAATTTACAACTTTACCGATTGCAGTCTTTGGCTGCATGATACAAAAGAAAGGCAAACAGGTGAGAGTTAGCTTCCTGATTAAATATTGGAGGCAAAAGTAAAGGAAGGGTTAATGTATCTGAGCCTTAGACACAAAACATGGTCAGGTTCTTAAGCACAGTTACTGGAAACATAGCACTTATAGTGGTGCAGGACCTGCCACCACACATGCACCAGTTAGGAGATATTCTGTGCAAAACAATTAGCATGGTAAGACCACTGAATAAGTATTAATTACAGAACCTTACAGTAGTTTCACAAAAAAGAAACCTAGAATGCAAAAGAACACTTCACATGTTTCAAATTCATCTGCTAATTTGGATCTGCCCCAATAAAGATCTCCTTGCTTGGAACCATTCAACATTAGGTCCTGATTTCCTATTTGCAAGGATTACAAGGCAGGAGGTCTCTTAACAAACTTCTGGAATCCAAAGCAAAATTCTCCACAAATAAAATTTTCAGACAAGCAGAGCCATTGTCACAATGACCCGGTTCCATGGTAAGAGGATAAGAAAAAGAAAGAAATGAACTGCACAGTGAGTAATTGTAGAAAATTCTTTAATAAACAATAGTTGTAAAGTAGGACAGCAATTTAGATTTTAAACCTCTAAATCTTCTGGCAAGCCATTTTGCAATACTCGGCTCACATTCAAACATCCACTTTCCAGAAGCGAATCTGCATCCACAGCGCATACATTACCCTGCAAAGATCCCCACTCTCACTATCCCAAGAACTTCAGTATTGCCACAACCAATGGCTACAATCTTTAACCCAAAAACTTCAAACAGAATAACTCACCTCGCAGTTGAGGTTCTGAGGGCCAGAATGTGAACCTATAATGCTTTCAGCAAATTCTACAACCGCTGTCTGACTACATGATTTGACAAGCTCTCGGTCAATCTCCATGGTTTGACTAGCACCCCCTACACAATTTAACAGTCTCCTGGAAGATCCATTCTCCATGAAATTTGACCCCAAATCCTCAATTTTGTCATTCACGCCAATCTTAGGTTTTCCCCTGGTTTCAAAATTTGATACTTCATGTGGACTGACCATCTCCTGCTTTGAAATTGTATTAACCATCAATTCCATTGGCTCTATGCCATTCATATGATCAGCTGGTTCTAGCTCAACCCTAACTATTGGTGAATCGTGTAAATCCATAGAGGTCTGTCGATTTAATGGTGACTCCTGATAGACAGTCTCCCTCAGCTGCATAGCATCTCCCAGATCAACTTTTTCACTCTCTAACTGCCCTCTAGATGACCTAACCTCAGAGTTGCTAGCAACATCCTCGCAGTTGCTACCAATGTCCCCAATTGTTGAACACCCTAATTTAACCCCTTCACAGGAACTAGCCAGAGATGTTACACCGGACCTACTTGCACTATTAGAAGGAGAAACAGACTGCAGCCTTTGTGGGCTTGTACATGCCTGTTTCTCTGGTTTATCTGGCTTCAAATCTTCCATTTCACAATCATTTTTCCGCTTACCATGTCTCTCAGCAGACCCAGACTGAGACCTAGTAACATCTTCACCAGTTTTACCACTCTGCTGGTTCATGTGCTTTGATGGTCGAGACCGCTTGTACCCATCAGGGAAAACAAAGCCCGGAAGCTGCCTTCTACGAACATGAGAGACATATATATCCATCCCTGGTTTCCAAAAGATGTACATGTTTATCTCTTGCCTAAACTCCTCAACAGTTCCCCGTATATCAAATTGCTGGCCCTCCTGGCCAGTCACTCCCTCTTTCCTCTGCAAGCCCATGAAGAAAGCACAATGTGGGCATTGCTTGGAGGCATCTATATACTCATTTGGATAAGGATGGCACTGCAGCATCCCATTGGTGTCCCGTTCTATCTGATAAATGATACATGGAAAGGAAAATAAGTAAAGCAAGCATAGCAGCCATACTTTGTTGGATCATCTTGTCTTCAAATAAAACAAACATTCACTACTACATTAGAAAATATGGCTGAAAACTGAGGAGTGTATCAGTTCGCAACAACATTATAAAGGTAAGGTGCTTACCTTCAAGGTAAGTTGTCTAAGCCGAGACTCTACCCAGCCTTTCCAAGCTAGCAAATCATCAGCATCTGCTGCAACTATGTCAACTTGCAGGTAATTTTTGTATGCCTCAAAAAAAAGATAAGGTTCAAAAAGAGCACTCCAGTGTGCCTTGCTCAGCTCAACCTCCTGCAAAGAGAACAAAGTGAGAAAGCAAAAGGCATCAGTAGAATAATGTAGAAAAGTAAAGGAACAAAAGTTACTACTTATGCTCTCACCTCACATATCCTGTTACCACTTTGGAATTGCTCTGTCATAACACGACGAGTGCTTATAGACACATTATAGCTAGAATTCATGCAAGGATATGCAGGAGTTATTATTGGCATGTGATGAAATCGGTCCCGAGGGTTTTTGCGAGGATCCCACACGGGAAACCCAAGTTCATCTTCTTCTATCGAGCATAGCATTACAGGATTCGGCCAACGCCATTGTGTATAAACTCTGAAGAACCGAGAGACTAGCATACTAGGAATTGCATTAGGATAAAGCTGGCACACTCGGGCAACTAGAAGAGCCCAGTTTACTCCACCAAGGAAACCAGTGACCTACACATTTAAGGAGATGAAAACCGTAATTTGTTGTAAAATGGCAATTGCAATGAATGACTCATCAAGATGCCCAATCTTACATTTGAATAAACACCGCGCCTTTTAGCCCAAAACTTCAGACATCTGAGTGTTGTTCGAAAGTGCTACAATTTTTTCAATGGTTAAATGACTGTCAAATCACTGAAGCAATAGAATAAAGTAAGTAAAGAATACAGTAAGTCACCTCAACATTTGGAACAAGTTTAAGAATTTGATCAGCAACCCTGCACCCATTTAGACTTCGAACAGTTTGCTCATCAACTTCATAGAGCACAGACCCGTTGGAGATGTCCAGGTCCTGTTGACAAGTTAGTTCCAAATTAAATTGACCAGGCAACAAAAATCAGAACTTCCAATGTCAAAATCCATCAAGGTTTGTTTGTTTGCCGGAAAGTGTTTTCCACACTTTCCCATCTTTCGCTGCACTTTGGAAAACTAGTCAACAGAATTCACTTTCCAATCAACATAAAAATTAAGCTTTAGAGGAGGAAAGTGTTTAACAGTTCAAAAGAGCAGAAAACACTTTTCATAAAGGGCTTACAGCTAAAGTGGTGCAACACTTTATTATCCTTATATATATACATGAATATAGTAATAATATACTTTAAAATATATAATATTATTATAAAATACTAAATTACTAATCTATTTATATAGGAAATAATACATTAGGATATATCAATATATAACAGATATAATTATATAAAGTTAATATATTAGTGCATATAATGCTTTAATTTAGATAATATTGCTAGAAAATACATTATAATTATACAATAATCATAGATTTTAAATCATATAAATTGTATTATAAAAATGGGATATCATATAAAAGAAATTTACTTTCAATGCTCACCAAAAAACAAAAAAATGTTTGATGGCAATTAAAATTCTACTATTTTAAAAAAATTAATAACTCAAAATGTATTTTTTTGGCTTATTTTCTATGATATGACCAAACACCAGAAAATGGTTTCAAGCTCAATTTCCACGATACAACCAAACGTCAGAAAGTAATCCATTTTCTCGGAAACCATTTTCCTTAAATTCACTTTCCAAAAGGAATCCACTTTCTGGCAAAACAAACGAGGCCCAAATCATATAAAGGAGAAAGTCCATAGTCCAGACTTTGCAACCCAAGCTCATGACAGGAGAAGACGTACTAGAACTCGAACCTGACCAGACCCAATCGACTAAGAAATTTTAGATAAACCAAAAATATGCCACAGAAGCGGATGAAACTGGCTATTAAAAGGCAATCCCCCCACTCCATGCAAAAACAAAATTCTAAAGTGGGGATTAAAAGTATTGCTATTTGGCTAGAATGGTAAAAGGGGGTGGGAGGAGTAGGTCCCAACTTCAAAAGTTTACCGAAAAACGATGAGGAGCTTTTTTATGAGTTGAAGATTAGCGTTCTCAGTAGTAAAGTGCATCTTGTATCGTAAAACAAGAAACACTAGGCTCCAGATTTGCTACTAAAATTCATTTTCAATGAGAAAAAACAGCAAAAATAAAAAACAGGAAAGGAGGGACCAAACCATACCAAGCGATAAATGTTAAAACTTAACTCATGTAGCCACAATAAAATTAAGAAAGAACACGTTTTTGATCATTCATAATTAAATGCATAACATGGATATTTCAAATAATATGGAGCTTACTTCTGGAACCACCAAAAGGGATATACTTGCATAAAGAAGATCGATTGATATTCCCTGGAATTTAAACTTCATAACCGGGACATGAGCATCTGGAACTGGCTGAAGTTCAGTAACTTCTTCCATTTCAGCCAGTATATCATGCAAGATAATAAAGAAATCTTCCTGGAAAACAACTTAAAAGTGTCAGTCAAAATACTCTAGAACTAGAGGAAAATAAGCCATGTTTATGAGTCACCTCTCGATTCACATAAGATGGCCCAACACACAAGGTGTCTATGTCAGCCCCAGGACCATGCACCTGTTACAATAGTAATATTGCCATAAATACAAACCAATAATGTAATTAGACCACTAAAGTAACAAAATATAAGATTAAATCATATTCAGAAACAAAGGCATAAACACTATAGAGTACATATGAATGCTTTTAAAAATCCCACTTTGTTTCATCTGGGTAGACAAGCCAGCAACATCCATTCACCAGAGTATTAGCCAGGGCAAAACTACCCCAGCACAAAATGAGTGTAGTTTGCAACTCAAAGCACAAAGCAGTTGGGCACACAGCCACCTATTTGGGTACTTGCTTAGGACACACTGCAGCCAGGTGGCTCAAAGTAAGATTATCAAAGGTTCATGCTTGGAATAATAGGCCAGCCTAAAGCAAAAGTATAACACCATATTGAATCATTAACTTATCATTGAAACAATTTTCCTAAGTTAATCCCTACTTCCATTCATTCACAAACCTAAAAAATCAGGAACCAATTTCATTTTCTCATTTGCTAATCTTGTCACAATTTCCTATTGAACTAAAAACTACACACTAGGAATCCAAAAGAAACAAATATTCAACTAATCATACAACTGAGCAGAATAACTATGAAAAGCCGAAAAAAGGAAAAATAAATTCATCTTGAAGCACAAGAAAACAAATAATATATTACAATAACTGACCCCAAGACGATAAGACCCAAAGGTAAAAATAACAGCATTGGCTTCCTCTACCATCTGATCAGTATATCCCCTTTGACGCGTCAGTTGCTTAACCCAACCTTTCACAATCTATAACAAAAAAAAAAAAAAAGTTCAAAAAACATAATAATTTAAAAAAACAAAAATCATCTAATAAAAAAAATCAACAACCAAATACAATAACGAGAAACTACTAATATTATTACCAGATCGATACGGCCTAGAACCTCTTCTCTCTTTATAGCCTCTTCTTTGCTCTCGTATAAACCCGAATCAACCAAAAACTAGCAAAAATCATTAGATTAATAATAAGTAACATTAATTGAAACAATAAAGAGCAAATTTTTGTAATTATTTACTGATTACCTTCTCTAATTCCGTATTTCGATGAAGATCAGGTTCAGCCGGACCAGCGGCGGAGATTGGTTTCGTGATTCCGTACCTCTTCGCTGCCGTTCCGTTTGGACTCTGTGAACCCACCATTCCGATTCTCGAAGAAAAATAAAACTAAAGGCAAAATTGAAACAAGAAAAAGATTAACAGATCGATAAAAAAAAAAACCCTAATCTGTTGGTTTTTTTTTTTTTGATAAAAAACCCTAATTTGAAGTTAACAAAATTGGGGTTTTTTGAGATCCAAAAAATAGTCAAATAAGAAATTTGAGAGAGAGAGAGAGAGAGGGATCAAGAGAGAACAGGAAGGAGGGGAGAGATCGGTAGGCTAAGGGAGTGTTTGGAGAATCTGAAGATATTGGTGGGGATGTTTACTTGAGATTTTTAATTATTTATTAGTAACAGACAAAAGTACAGGATAGCACGCGTTTTTCCTTATAAGTTTTGTATTAGGACTCACTAGGGTCTGTATGGTAATATCCTTTTCTTTTCTTTTCTTTTTTTTGAAATAGTCAATTTATTATTATTATTATTATCGTTGGATTTTTTCTTTTCGTAGAGTGAAGCTCGTGATTAATAATTATTATCGTTAATGCGAAATGATACGATAGACAAATTGAATGATACTACAAAAACACCTTTTGTTTCTTAGGTTGATTAGATTATTGTGCTGGTCTTAAGTTGAAATGCTATTGAATTTTATCAAACTTATTAAAATTTATGAATTATTATCATTAATTAATGAATTGATCTAAATATAAAATTAAATTGAATGTATTAGTAGTTTAATTTTGAATTTATTTTTGGAATCTAATTGAATTTGATTCAGTTAATAAAATTAATATTCAAAATACACGACTAGGAATCTACAATGAACTTTCCTTGTTTGGTTTGAAAGTACGTTTTTGACATCGAGAAAAAACCTGCAGTTAGTATTAGTATCATTGTCAACATCAAACACACCATCCTGTAATAATTGTTTTTCGTAAATAAACGTTTGAAAATTAAACTTATTGTTAAAAAAATGAAAAACCAGCAACTGACCTGTCGTTTGGGCTTGAATACCATGCATGTCTTGATTTCTACTACCGCCGTACTTCTTCCTACATTGGAAGAGGCAGAGACAGACACAAACTGCAGGCTTAACTTCCCTTTGTCAATGTCACTGTCCGTACCCAACACGCCAAAAAAGAATCCTACACGACAAACAAAACTAACCTCACATTTAGCGAACCAGAAAAATATCCAACTATATGATCCGTCGCCTCTCCCCTCTTCTCCGCAACGCTCCAATGGCTCGTGCCATTTCACGCGCCACCACCCCTCTCCCTTTCTCTACTTCCTTACCGCCCGCTGCCCTCTCCTCTTTTTACTCTCCTTCGAGTCTTTCCTTCACTCCAAAACCCAACAATTTTAACTTCCCTTCATTGACTAGAACTGGATTCTTTAATAAAAAGTTCAAAACTCTTTCTCAACATAATTATAGGTACACGGTTCGGGCCTCCCAGAGAGGTTACCGGAAAGTCAGGCGGCTGACGGCGGCGACGAGGAGAAGGAAAGAGAAGGATTTGGAGCTCAGCGTTAGCATTTGCATTGAAGAAGGCCTTCCTAATGACCCTGAAATATTGGTAATCTTAAAGAAAACATCTTTCTTTTGTCTTTAAAGTTTAATTTTTGTGTTTTGATATTTTGATTGATCTTGACAAATGGGGTTTGTGTTTATTTTGTGATTGGTTGGTGTTATACAGAGTATAGCAGAATTGCTAAGACTTAATGTGGCAATGGCAATGAAGGTAGCATTTGATAGTTTAAAAAGTTCAACTTTTAAAACGAGGGATGAAGCTATAAGTGATGTTGGTGGATTTGACAGCATTGAGTTGTCTGTGATGCTTTGTAATGATGAGTTTATTAGAAAACTTAATCTGGAATGGAGGGACGAGGATCATGCAACTGATGTTCTTTCAATGTCACAACATATGCCTGGCCTTGACCTTCCAATCGTAAGTGAGAGAAGTGTATAGCTTTAGTTAATTGCAGGATTCATTTAGAGTGACAACTTGGGTTGATCACTTTTTTTTTTTTTTTTTTTTGCAGCTTATGTTGGGTGATATAGTGATTTCTGTTGAGACTGCTGCACGACAAGCGGAGGAAAGAGGACATACGCTTATCGATGAAATTCGAGTTCTCCTGGTTGGTGCAATTTTGTTTCAGTCTTCACTTGCATGTTTTAGCATCTCTTTTTGGTTGTTTTGTTTGTTGTACATAATTTGGATGTCTGTACTTGCTGGACCAGGGTAGCTGGTTAACTTCATAACATGTAGTTTCACTCCCTTGATTACTTTATGCATGTACAGGTTCATGGGTTGTTGCATCTTTTAGGATTTGATCACGAAATTAGTGACGAGGCTGAAGTTGAAATGGAGAAGGAGGAGGGAAATCTTTTGGAGAGTCTTGGGTGGAAAGGAAAAGGACTGATTCAGAGCGCATGTGATGCAGAAACTAATATGAATCATCATATGGAAAATTCAGATGGTAATTTCACTGTATTAATGTTTATTAATTAGAGAAATTGCGATCTGGTTTTGGGAGGATCCAAATTCTTGGATTCATACTTCATAATTTATTTGTTTTGGAGCTACAATGTGCTGCATATACATGCATAGATATGTACGCATGAGCATGCTATGATATCATCTTACACTACTGTGTTAAAGACAGGAAGAAAGAAGGCAGTCTTCGATTCTATAAACCAAAATTCAGCTATATCTTCTGCGACATGGATGGTGAGGTGACCCATACTTTTTGATAGGATATCCACATGTTTTGCACATTGGATTTTAATGTTTTCTTTGTCTTCCCCCTTTTCTGATTGCAAGGAACGTTACTGAACAGCAAAAGCCAAATCTCCTTGATCAATGCAAGGGCATTGAAAGAGGCTTTGTCAAGGGGGTGAAGGTGGTGATCGCAACTGGAAAAGTAAGAAATTGGGCAATTCTACCTTTTTATCTTTAGTTCATTGACTCCTAGCCAGGGCAGTATTTATGGGCACATGCTTTTGCAGTATTTGACTTCTAGCTATATTTTTCCTATCATATTACCCTAGGATTCTAGTTTTCATTTTTCTTTAACAGGTGCTGGATGTTTCTGTTTGTTTTTATTTATTTATTTATTCTTCCAATAACTGGGCTTCTCTTTATTATTTATTTTCTTCCTATATTCTATGTGTTTCTTATCAATAAAGGATCTAGCTGCTAGTTATTGATCTGAAATCTTGAACAGGCACGTCCTGCTGTGATTGATATTTTGAAGGCAGTAGATTTAGCTGGTAAAGATGGAGTTATCTCTGAGACCTCTCCCGGTGTTTTCTTACAGGTTTTACTTTTTCTCCTAAACTGTTCACCTTCTGGCAGTCAATTTAACAATTTTCAAGTTGTACCTCCTGAACAGGAAAGACATTCTCAAATTGCTGGTCATAAGCATGTATAAGTGTGCATTTGTATGCTTATGGTCATACCTTCAAGTGTTTCTTAAACTCAGCGTTTTTGGAACATCTTTACCGGTTATACAAAATTAACCTACGTCCTTTCTAGCCTCTTCAAGATAATTATAATGATATAACTTGCCAGGTTTCTTTCTTCTTCCACTCCTTGAAGAAAAGAGCTTAGTTCTATTGGGCTTGAGGCCATTCCACCTCCCTCTTCTGGAAACCAATCCTAATTTTGATGCAAGCCTAGGGAAGTTTAAGTATTCCTACTTGCAAGAATTCAGGAGAAATTACAGCAGAGTTAACAAACATTAGATTTCTTATGCACAAAGTGGATTTGCAACAGCTAGTTAAAAAGCATTTTTACCAATCTGAACTTCATATCCAGGACTTGTATCAATTTGAGAACTCTTATAGTTTAGCTCCACTATCAGCATTTTCTTCTTCATCGTATCAAGAAAAGGGACAAATTTCACTTTTCTTAACGTCACATTTATTTGTCTTGATTTATTGTCTTAGTATCATCAAACTGATGAATGGAAATAGCTCCTTAAACACTGCTAACTTATAGTTCAAATTATATACAAATTCTTGTAGTTTAGATCCACTGACAGGCAGCTGCCTCCCTGAAGATGCCATTTCTTCTTGGGTCTTGTTGTACATACTTTGCCCCTTAATATTTCTCTTCCTGGTTTTATATTTGCTTCTGCTTTGCTTTCAATTTTCTCTTTTGTGCTTTCATCTTCCCATATGATTATTGTTTTTAAAATTAAAGTACTTTGATTTTCCACTTTCCTGAATGCTGTAAAGCTTAGAGGTCTGCGCTAACATACCTTTGCTTCCATGTAATGCTGTTGTGTTCAACTCCCAGCTGTTGATTTTAACTCATTTGTTGTCACTCATTGGTGGTTTCTGTTTTATTTCAGGGGTTAATTGTTTATGGTAGACAGGGTCGGGAAATTTTTAGATGCAATTTGGATCTGAGCGTCTGCAGAGAGGTAATATTTCATACAGAAGTATCATATGATAGCAACTGGGTTTGAACTACACCTGATTTTTTTCAGAATAGTGAAGAAAAAGCAAAGGGGATTCCACACACCCACACATAGATAGAGAGAAAAAACTGCTGGGTGATTGTGCTTTTTTTTTGTCTCCTGGTCGCCTGGATGTGATATGTTATGCTGTTTCATAGTAGCAAGCATCTACCAGTTGCGGCTAAGTTGTCTTGGGCAGTTATTTGCTCTTAGTTGTTCATAATGCCATCTTAGTTGCAGACTATGTTTATTTGTCCTAGTCTTGTACAGTTGAGTTTTGCCTGCTTGATCTGTCCAGAACCAGATATTCCTGGCTCTCTAGTGGTTGGATGCAGTTGCAGTGCAGCTGTAGAGAATTCCCAAAATTTCATCGGAGCTGCACAATCCTTTCATCTGGGAAAGTCTTAGTATCAAATTACATGTGTTTTCTTAAGCAACATGCTTTCCCACCTATTCTAGTTTGATTGACTTTTTGTAAGACCATAATTTGACAATCTCACTCATCCTTTTGTTTACAGCAGCACTAAAGTGCCGCCACCCACACCCCCCACCTCCCCCCCCCCCACCCCACATAAAAAAAAACAGTCCATAGCATCTGTGTGCATTTCTTCTTGTCGTTGTTTATTTATTTATTATTATTATTATTTGGTTATTAACAGACTAATCCACACTTATTGGCTTTTACTAGGCTTGTGGATATCTTTGTTGTATTGAAGGATCATTGTCATCACTAAGTACTTGGTCTTGGTCTTGAAAATGCAGGCATGTCTCTACTCTTGGGAGCACAAGGTTCCTCTTATTGCATTCAGCAATGATCGCTGCTTGACATTATTTGAGCACCCTCTAGTTGATTCACTGCATACTATATATCACGAGCCAAAGGTTTATATTTTTCACTCTAGTAACAATTCTGTGGTGGTGCCTTAGCAATTTTTCCATATACATGCATGATTTACGAGAAAATTTTTACAGGCTGAGATCATGCCGTCAGTTGAGCATCTATTATCTGCTGCTGACATACAGGTATTTGCACAAATATGTTCTCTTTCATTCTATAGTATCAAAAGAAAAGCGGTATAGATGTTTTGAACTTAAAAGGTTGACATTTTTAAAGATTGTGTTTAGCAAACGATTTTAGCCAAGATATCTTTTATCGAAATCAGCTGAGTGGTTAGTTTTCAGTTTTTAAGATGTCAATCTTCAATTTTTGTTGTACCTCAGAAAATCATAGACATGGTTTTTCCCTTGAGAGTTCATTCTTAAATGAAAGCAAATTATTGATCTTCTTTTGCTCTCTTTCTGATTCAATTTTGATCAGCTACCACTGTTATGGATTTTGTGCTCTTGTTGAATGTATTTGTGTACTTCTATGGCAATACTTGCAGCTGCAACTTCAATCCCTAGAAAACCATTATCCTCTCTACTTTGAGTTTTGTTTATTTTCACGATGATTCACATCTTTTCAATTTACAGAAGATGATCTTTTTAGACACTGCTGAGCGAGTGGTTACAACCCTGCGGCCATACTGGTCAGAAGCAACTGGAGGCCGTGCCAATGTCGTCCAAGCTGTCCCAGACATGCTTGAAATTGTTCCCCTTGGAACCTCAAAAGGGAGTAGTGTAAAAATGTTGCTTGATCATTTGGGTGTCACTCCAAAGGAGGTATGGGCAGATATAATCTGTTCTATATTCTTGTTCTTCATCTTGCCATCTTTCCTTTTTCAGAATAAAAGAAAATCTCTATAAGACTTGCAGTAGATGCTGGTGGAGTCTCTCTCTTATTTACTTCCAATGTGTGAATGTCATAATGATAGTTCCATATCCTCTTTAATGGCCATTTCTCTTTCTTGAGGAGGACAAGAAGAATGGCCAAACCTTTGATCACATTATATTTCTGAGTTTTGATATGACAGGCCTGTTTAGACCATATTGCGGATTGTTCCTATTTTATTAAATTTCAGATAATGGCTATTGGTGATGGTGAAAATGACATCGAGATGCTTGAGCTGGCTTCTCTAGGCGTTGCTCTTAGCAATGGGTCAGAGAAGACAAAAGCTGTGGCTAATGTAATTGGTGCCAGCAACGATGAAAATGGCGTCGCCGATGCTATCTACCGGTATGCGTTCTGAGGTACAGGGTCAAGTGTGAAAAATTCAAACAAAGGTCAATAGCACATTATATATATGCCGCTGGATGCAATCTGCCAATCTTGACAGTATTTATTGTTCTTTCTATTGAAGAAAGATGGGCCTCATAAATCATAGAAGAAATGCTGGCCCCTCTGAAGCACGGTCCCTGAGAGGATGATACAAATAAGGTTGACCTTTTTTTCTCCCATTGATCAATTTCCATGATTTGAACTTCATGGATTTGCTTAGGTAGATTTATACACTGAATCAATCACTCAATTCTTTTTTAAAAAAAAAAAAAAAAATTGGGGTGAGGAGATTGGAATTTGGGCATGCCCACCACTCCCAGAGCCCCAGTCTTGATACGTTATTCTTTTCCGTATGAGATTTAATGTACCTACTTCTGCACGTATCTGTTTAGACAATCCAGAAATGGACAGATGCTCAATTTTTTTGCATCCATTATTTCACAATGACAACTTAATCTTATTGGTTCACCTTTAGAAATAGTTAGATGATCCCCAAACGTTGCTTTCATTGATGTAAATGATTTCTCTCAAATGTATGCTTGTTTGAAATGTTATGCTGTAGTAGATTGATTGCAATAGGTGAAATTATTTGGAAGGAAAAAAAATCATTATGATTTGATGATCTTCACTATGCTATAAATATGTTAAAAATATATTTAAATCAAAGATTAAAAATATTTATCTGACTTTATAATTTTTAATCGAATTTTTGTATGTAATTAACTCTTTCTTATGTTTTTTAAAAGATTTCCTTCTTGTAAAAACAGGTTTTTTTGTCATACATGAATTCTTAAATAAAAATTTATAATAATTTAAAATGCAAGCTTGAATTTATCAGAAATCCTAAAAAAATTGTGTAAATTTAATTATTTATTTTATAAGAATGCATCGAGAAAATAATGCAACAATTAATTTTTTAAAAAAATTGCATAAAAATTTGAAGATTTAAAATAATTTTTTATAATATTGATGAGAAGATATATATATATATATATATATATATATATATATATATATATATATATATATATATATATATATATATATTCAAAATAATAAGTAATATTAGCTTAAAAACTCTATTTAAAAAATATGATTTGGTTGGGTATCGTTTTTAAAATATAATTTTTATTGTTTTATTTGAGGGAATTGATTTCAAAATATTCATTTTAAAAAAGTAAATATTAAGTGTATTTTGTGTATATGTACAGTACATTTGTAATTAAAAAAACTTATAAAATTAATTTTGATATTTAATTATTAATAAACAATATAATAGCAATTTTGTTAAACTTTTATTGATTGAATATTTGGTCAAGTGAATTGCACATACCACAAATAAAAAAAAAAAAAAGCACACAAAATCAATACAGTCACATACAGATTTAAGCTCCTATTAAAAAAAAAATCTTCAAAAACAAATTCAACCATCAAGAGGAAAGGTTAAAAGTGTCTCTACCCTACAATTGTAGACACAATAACGCAATCACAATTTTATATTTATAAAATTATTTTACATTGATTTTTTAATAAGCCAAAAGTTGCATTAATTATTTTAGCTTTGTTTATAGTCACTTTTCAACTTAATTATTATTTATAAGCCTTGTCAATTCTTGCTTTTTTCGAAGCCATATATAGGTTACGTCTAATTTTTTATACCAATACTGTTTTCTTTTTCTTTTTTTATAATGCACTATTTTGATATAGGGAATCATAATGATATTTATCAAAAAAGAATCACCTGCAAATAATGATGAAAGAGGTCACTGAATTATACAGTAAATTATAAATTAGTTTCTCTCATTTTAAGAAATAAATTAATTAATCCTTTTGGTTTCAAAAAGTAATTATTTAATATTTTTAACCCCGACTATTTTTTTAAATGTCTTTTTTTCTCATCAGTATTTTTAAATTTTTACTTATTTTTTATTCCTTTTCTATTTTTTTAAAATCAAAATAAATTAAAAAAATAGTAAAAAAGATTAAAATATTAGTTTTTGAAATCAAAATGACTAATTAATTTATTTTCTAAAACAAGAGGGACTAATTTATAATTTATCCTTGAATAGCAAGTGGCTGAGAAAAAAATATGGATGAAAACTACCTCTGTCTTAAAAGAAAAGGAAATGCCAGGAAAAGGGCTAAAGAAGGAAATTAGAAGAAGGGAAAAAATCAATAGAATTGCTAAAAACTTAATTGAATCTCTCACAATTTCTTGGTATCCCATATGAAATCTCACAGTTGAAGATGAAATTTGAAGAAGCTGATAATTTACCAAAGACTTAACTCACTCTCTCTATCCTTAATTCAATTCTATTGCTAAAAACCCAATTGAATCTCTCGCGATTTATTGCTATCGCATATGAAATCTCTCTATTAAAGATGAAATTTGAAGAAGAAGCCGATCATTAACCCCAATTGTTCAATAACAATCAACTTCTCACTTTCTCTCCCTCCCCTGTCCGTATCAAAATTAAAGGATAAAATAACTCACTCCAACTCTTCCCCCAACTGTTGAATAACAGTAACAATCAACCTCTCACTCTCTCTCCCTCCCCTATCCATTTCAAAATTAAAGGGTATAACTTATCCCCTTAATTCAACCACCCTTTTTAAAAATTTTCTATGAAAAATGAAAATTTGTAACGATTGAATGCTTAAAACGACGTCAATTAAGTATTTTATTTAATGGTTAAATGATTGACCGTTATTAATAATAGATTAGACTATAATCTAGATAAAATCTAACTAAAAACTAATATTTTATTATCCAAATTGATAATAAAAACTTAAAACCGACAAATTGTAAAAAAAATGAAGTAATTTTTGCCATAAAACCACCACTGAGCCGGTAAAATTTCATTTATCCCGAGTTTGTATAGAACTGATCTCCCAGGGGTGCAAAAAGGTGATTTCGAAAATGCCCAAGTGGTAAAGTGGGTTCTTGGATAGAAATGATGGCTGATGGTCACAGACAAATCCCAAATGGACCGGTCACCTTGCAGTTTTCAAATCCCATATGGGCTATTCACTCTTACAGTTTTGTACCTACCAACCAAACGACCAGCGCACCAGGAACGATATCATTTGATCTGTTACCCTCCAGTTTTGCACCCAATAACCGAATGAGCAGCGCACAAGGAACGACATCCAGTGACCCATGGCTAGGTGCACTTTTGGGTCTCTGCAATGCATTTCCCTGCACCTTGAAAAGATTAGGCACGGCTTTGTACTTCCATTAGATCTGTTATCCAAATCCCAAATGGACCAATCAACCTGCAGTTTTCAAATCCCAAATGGGTATTCATTCTTAGTTTTGCACCTACACCTACTAACCAAATGACCAGCGCACAAGGAATGGTATCCAATGACCCATGGCTAGGTGCACCTTTCCGGTCTCTGCAATGCATTTCCTTACACCTTGAAAAGACTAGCCACAGCTTTGTACTTCCATTAGACCTGTTAACCAAAGCAGAACATACATTTATTCTGTCTAAACCATCCTGGCATTGCCGGATGGCACTCACAGTTCACACCAACATAATGATAAGGAAAGGGAGAAATGAATAAATAGGGGCCATATTTAACAATGAAAAAATATAAGTCTAGCAAAAAACTTCCATCTCAAATCCATTAAATATCCCTTGTAGATAAATATTCCACTATAAATCAACACACTTCCATTCAGAAGTCTGGTATTAGGAATACAAATATTTCATACAAGAGAAGCCATGTCTATCACTTCACACAGTGCCAAACGACTTCAACCTCACACTTAAGACCCCGACACATCTTCAACTTTAAACACGAGCAACTGCAAGAAATTCCAACTTCTTGTGGGAACATGCAAGCCTCCAAAGCTAAAATCAATTTACCCGAGAAAGAAACGGGATAAAAAAGACAAAAGAATCGAACCACATACCTAGGTGACTAAAGACCCTGATCAACTAGATAATCACCAAGCCTTTCCACAATCATGTTGCATTGGCCTGGAGTTAAAGGCTCGTCATACACACCAATTACAAGTGCCTGACTGGTTTTCTTGATAGTGACACCGCCAGAACCCTGGTAGAAATAATATGGAGTCAATGAAAACACACAACAGAGAAAGTGATAAGACAGATTAGTGCATATAAGTATATAAAAGCTTGATTCAATGTACCACACAAACATTTATGTCCTGTGCAACACTATTCTTTTCAATAAGTTGTGTAGAAAGCAACCAGCTAATGCACATTCCACAAACTGGAAAACACTAACGCTAAGTTCCACACATCACTCCACTAGATATTTGCCAGTCACGTAACTGTCGTACATTTAATCCATCATCATTTTTTTTTTAATTCAAATAACCTAGCTACAAACTAGGGAATACACAATGATGAAAGCTAGTGAATAACGTTCACATTTCCATTCAATATCTAGGAGTCACTCCCTCCATCCTATGATCCATTTCCAACTCTGGAAAACACCAACCCAGTTGGTTAATAAAATATTGTCAATTAAACCATTGTCAACTTGTAAGGAGCAAATCTAATTTAACATGAAAATAGTTTTCTGAAAATATAAATCATACAAAAACTTCCTACAATCTGATATGGCAAGTAATAAGTGATAATAAATATCCCGGTCTCGAAAACATTAAATAATTGGTCAAATCTGGAAAAAGCTTAATTTGTATGAAAATTTTAAACTATTTGATAGTTAATATAGCATTGTAGACACAAATCAACAATGGGACAAGCTAACGAGTTAGGGCAATTACGTTAGTTGAACATTGCAATAATTAAACAATTTTCAATTTCAAAATTTTCATCTAATCACCATCATTTACCTATGCATTACAGGCCGTTGGATATTCGATCCAAGATTTTGTGATGTGATTCCATAAAAAAAAAATTGAAATCCAAAATCTTCCAAGTATTACAGCATTTCACAACCAATAACTACCAAAAACTAATCTCTTAAAAAAAATTGCCCTAACACCACCCTTACAATATGGTAATAGTCAATGCATACGGATAATTATTATTTAAACTAGTAAAAAAAAATTTTAATTTCGAAATTAGCAATACAATTACTTAATTAATAAAAAAAAAAGAAAAAAGAATCATCACCTTCTTTCCTCGAATAACAGCTCCAGGTTCACCCTGGATCACCATGTACTTGGTGCCACCAAGGTACAACCCAGTTGGTGCAAGAGATCCAGGTTCATCAAAATCTTTCATAATCGCATTCACTTCTTCTTGGGTAAACTGCAAAATCAATAAACAAATCAAATTAAATCAGGGCATGCAAGAGGAAACAAACGACATGTCAGGGCAAAAACCAAACCGATCTGAACCAGATCGGAGAAATTAAGAATTGGAAGAAATGAAACCTGAGGAAAGGAAGCGCTTTGAGCCCAAACGCTGCCGTCTTGGCCGATGATAGCAGCGGAAGTGAGGGTATGACCATCAATATCACACATCAAGTGTTCATCGACGTACGTTTGCCACGACATTTTTTTGGCTTCTGCGGTGGTGATGCCGCTGCTTTGATTGATTTGAGGAGTTTCTAGTAGTTACGGAATGGAGGGAGAGATGGGATGGACCAAGACGAAAGAGAAGAGGAGAGAAAGATATATGAGAGAGGAACGAACGACAGTGGGATAAAAGAGGAAGGTTGCGTTATGACTACGCTGACTATATCCAACGCGTTTGTCCATCGTGGATTATTTCATTGTGTGGTGGGGTCTTTTATTCTTTTTCTATGTTAAGGGTGTGCTTTGTCTAGTTATTACCTTCTTAATTAATTAGGTTTAATTTCATTCATATCATTGCTCATAAGAAATAAATAATTTAGGCACTTTCCAATTAGTTTTTACATGCTAGGGTGTTCTTTGTCTAGTTATTACCTTCTTAATTAATTAGGTTTAATTTCATTCATATCCTCGCTCATAAGAAATAAATAATTTAGGTACTTTCCAATTAGTTTTTACATGCTGAAACAAGTCTTTTTCATATTTAATTTTACATAATTAATTTATATATATATAGAATAATAATTTTATACCAAATTCCATATATTTTGAAGCGTGACAGTGTCTTGATTAACTTTTAAATTCAATTTTTAGTCCTTTAATTTTGATTTACTTCAGAATAGCACAATTATGTCTACACTCGAAACACTAAATCCCACAATAAAAGTTTTCATCTTCAAAGTTTATCCAAAAATCAGACTAAATACTAGATTCTTTGCATGAGGTAGATCTAGCCAATTTATATTTCAGAGTCCAATGGGTTGACGACAACGAGTTTTGGGATGGGTAGAACTTGTACGCAACGATTGTTGAGATTTAACGGTGCTCCAATAGTAGTTTGTTGGAAAATGATAGCTCGATTGTGTCTTCTTCTTCTTTTTCCTTCTTGTTTTATGTTATCCTCTAATATCAATAATTGTAGTTCGTTAACCCGCCTTAATTTCTTTTTTAAATAGTAAATAGTAGTTGTCAACTTTAATGTGGTAGTGGGTTTTGATGTTACTAGGGGCAATGGATTTTTCTTATGGTGGTGGGCATGGGCTTATTATTGGATGGTTGTTGTAATTGTTATTGATGGTGCATAGCTATTGGGTTTATTTGAAAATTATGAGATGTGTTAGGATGGTTTGGTGTTCTTTTTGAGAGATTAAGAGGTGAAATGTTGAATATTGGTCACCGATCATAGAGTGAATTATGACTCTTTGGAAAATGACGAGGTGAAATTAAGTTTTAATTTGGAGTGAAAGGTGGTCTAAATATAAATTGGACAAGATAAGTTGATTAGATAAGTTTTTGTTTAATTTTATATATTTATTTTTATAGTAGTATTTTTATTTTTATTTTCCGGATACAAATATTTGTTAAATATTTTTTTTTTGAATTTTTAATTTGGTTATAGTGGCGTGAAGTTTCTAATTGCTACGTGTTTGACAATAAACCCTACATAACGGTACCACATGTGTGATTAATAGATATATCAGCCTAGAGTTAATGGAACCATTCAAATAGAAAAAAATTACAAGTTGATACACTCGAATAGTAAGATTAAATATTACACACTCAAACAGTAAAAATATTGACAAATATGTAATAATTTTTTTTGTTGCCACGTGTCTTGCAATGGGGCTTACAATTTGGTGCTACGTGTGCATTTAACAATCACATTAACATAAAGTTAACGGAACCACTCAAATAAAAAAAAATTACAACTTAGTATACTAAAATAGTAAAGATTAGAGTTGCCATACTCAATTAGAAAAAATTGACACTTTGCATACCAAAAATATAATTAACTCTGTTTATAGTAAATACACATTAAATCTAGAGAAATTGCATATTTTTCTTAATTTTTATATTTAATGTTTCGCATGTTCTTAAAAATTCAAAAAAAATATATATTTATTAGAAATAATATTAATTTAAAATTTAGATCGTATTATTATTGAATCAAATTGAGGTATATCCATTTGATAAATGAATTAGTGTATTCGGATTATAATCAAATTTGGATCATAATTATTATATATGAGATTCATTTAACTTTATCAAAATCGTATAAGATTTGGATTAAAATTTGATCCATTGATTGTCCTAAATTTGACAATGAATTCATTGATGGTGATCATAGCTCATAGTGCAATTAATAACGATAATACTCTTATTGTGTAATCTTTCAAAGAAGTTATTAGTTGAGAAATGTTACCATGTGATCATTTAAATAACAAAACAATTTTACTTGCATTCTTTATTTTTCTATATTAAGGTTTCAACCCATTAATTAGTTTTATGACTAGTAACAAATTTTTAAGTGCTTGCTTAGTATTAACTTGTTAATTTGAGAAATTCTTTTAACTCATCTTCAAAAGTTGTGATTTAATAATAGAGAACATCTCAAAAAAAAAACTATCATGTTTAATATCAATTTGTGCAAGTATTATCATCATTGACGAACATCGATCACATCGAAATTTAGAAATGAGAAAAAAGAAAGGTAAGTAAAATTTTAAAAGTGAGGGAAAAGAGAGGTAGGTTAAAGATTACGAGATTGACAAACATTATTATTATTATTATTATTATTATTACTACTACTATGGAATAGATAATGAGGACATTTCTTCTTCTTTTTCTTTTTAGTTTTATTAGGACACCAAAAATTTGCAAGAAAAAAAATGAAAATGCTTTTCTAAATCCCCATATTAAATAGCAAATTAGGAACTTTCCTCCATTTCCTAATTCTAGTTGTCATCACCATTAACCCAAGTATGAATATGATTGGCTCTTATTTATTTGGACGTCATTTTTTAAGGAATATTTGATCTTATTTAAATATTATTATGGGTTTTTTATACATGGTTTCCTATAGGGCTAGATTTGTGTCTATTCACATGTTGTAACTATCTACAAGAGTTGTGTTTGTTAGTCAAGAGTCGTAATGGGATACAGTTGTGTTTGTTAGTCAAGAATTGCAATGTATATACACATCTATTGAGAAACGAGTGTGTATTGTCTATGTAAGTGATCTCTAGTTAATAAAAATTAATTCAATTAGAGATTTTGTTAAATATAAAAACAAAAACTCTTGCTTCGTTATAATAGTCCTATGTGATTCACGACTTAATGACGCATAGAAAACCTATTGAAGATTTATCGAGGCCTACACTAGTATCGAGCCTTCAAGTTTTCATCTTTAAGGTTAAGATTAATGAGTTCTTCAAAATCTATAAGATTTTTTTATCACTTGTTTCTATTTATCATCTATCTTATTTAACTATAGCATCAAAACAACGATCCGTTGATTATTCTAAGATTGAGAAACTGAATGGGTTTAGTTATTTTATTTAGAAATAAAGAGTTTCTTATATCTTGATACATGATAAACATTTTATGTAATTACTACTCACAAACCTATGGAGAATGAAGATTTGCCCATAGAAAAACTAGAAAAATGGAAAGAGTATAATGAACTTGCAAAGATTATTCTTTTGAGTCACATGTAAGATGATTTAATTCTTTTGTTTGAAGATTTGAAGACTACGAAGGAAATTCTCTTTGCTTTAGAACAAAAGTTTGGTAGAAAGTCCAATGCTTATGTTCAGCTTTTACTTGAAAAAAATCAATGGCATAGGTTAGCAATTTTATAATTTTTTACAATGATATTTTTGTAATTTTTTTAATAGTTTTTAGGCATTTATTTTCAAATTTTACACTTCATTCTTTTTGGTCCCTTATTTTTTTCAAAACATATTTTTAAATTCTCATGTTTTTAAAAATATTTTAACACCTCATGTTTTTAACTTAGTCCATGTTGGTCTCTCATTTTTTCTAAATATATTTTTGGTTTTTCATATTTTTAAAAGATGTGAAATAACTTCCTTGACACTAGAATGTCTCCCGAATATTTCATAGTCTTAATGCCCAAAATATTTAGTCCATCTATTTTAATTATTTTGTTATTTATTTATTTATTTGTTGTATGTTGGGTTGAATTTTTATTTGATTTGGATATTTTTTTCTAAGTTTGGATCTGGGCTAATTTAATTAGTCCTCTTGAAATTTGGATTCCTTGATTCGGAAGGGTTGACCAAATAAACCTTGGTTGGTTAGAGTTTGATTCTTGTGTGTTATGCATCCATATTTGTTTAAGAGTCCTTTTTTATGTGGAGTCTTAATTATTTAAGAAATCCAAGTATTGCGTGGATCTTTAGTTAATATGGACTAATTTAATTAAAGTTTTTGGTGGATATGGATTGCATTAAGTCCAATTATATTTAAGAATTTTTTTTATAGATAATTTTGACGTGAGCTAGTTTTTATAGTCCAATTGGACAAATTTTTCTACCCTAGTTGAATTTTCCTAGTCTAGAATTTAAGCTTTTTTTTTTTTTTTTTTTTTGTTTCTTTTGTAATAATTTAGATTTTTTATTAAATTAAATTTTGTGAGAGATCTCTCCATATTTTGTTCCTTGTGTAATATAAGAAGTGTCTTTTATGTATCTTTATAGTGATCAACTAAGGTGGTGTTGAGATCATCCATGATAAATTTTTTAGGTGGTGTATTTATATTTTTAGGGTTTTGGAGCATGTACCCATGTAAGTTCTAGTCATCCTACATAGTTAGGTTTAAGCTTACACTTTTATTTTCTTGTATTTTTAGATTTGTGTTAATCATTGAATCATATATTACAAGTCTTTTCGATTTTTTCTTTCTATTGTTTGTGAGTTTCAGCTAAGATTAAACAAGGGAGTAAAGTTTTCTATTTATTTTAAAATATTAAAAACTCATCCTACTAGACCTAATCGGGGTTTAGCGAAAATTTCAAAAGAAACAATCAAGGATAGCTACAATTTTTAAACAATGAGCTAAAATCATAAAACATGTATAGTTTGTGATTTTTTGAAACATTAAATTATATAAATAAAATAGAAGTCCTTGTTTGATTTTTTTTAAATATGTTAAATCAAGAAAACTCCTACTACTATACTACAAAGAAGGCATAAACTCTTATAAATAATCTTCTTCTTCTTCTTTTTGATAGATAAGTTCTTAAAAAAAAAAAATTAAAAAAAAGAATTAGTTGAAATAAACAAACTATAATAGCATGTTATATATAAGAAGTTTCACATTCACTTACAATTTTATAGAATTTTTAATGGTATTTTTTCATAACTTCAATTTATATTTTGTTTGGCAATATGTTTGAAATTGCTTTTAGGCAAAAAAAAAAAAAAAAAAAAAAAACGTATTAATATTTGGATATTTTTGATAAATCTAATATGAAGAGATTAGAATTATCGAAAAACATTCAAAACAACATCAAATGCACATACACCGCGTGTATATATATATATATATATATATATATATATATATATATATATATATATATATATATATATTTGTAATTTCAATTTTTATAAAATTGTGTCTTGACAATGCATTTAAAAGTATTTTTTTAGTGCGTCTGGATAAAAAAAAAAACATCAAAGTTTTTTTTTTAATAATTTTGATATAAAGATGTAAAAATCATCCAAGCATTCAGAAGGACATCAAATATGCAAATTTATTTTTACAAAAACACATTTCCACGTTAACAACATGCATTAAAATGTGCGTTTCGTTGTACAACATAGATTGTTTTTGTAAAAATGCATTTGTATTGATAGTTCGTAAAAGCCAAAAGCCTTCGAAAACACCTAAAAAAAATTAATCTGATGACTTATATATATATATATATATACATACTAGTGCAAACACAGGTGACATGAGTTAGCCCACTCTATTCGAAACTGCACCAAAACCACCAATTACCAAAGCACGCCAGGGAGCTGTAAAGTAGGCCCCATTCCAAAACCAGCGGCTACCATGTCCGTATCTATGGACCAATCAAAACCCACGCCACCTGTTTCGTCATTTTCCCAGCAAAATCCACGGACACATACATACGCAGCTGACATCGCTTTCTCCACGTGTACTAGGAACTATAAATTGGCGCACGCAAACCGAAACACACAGCCCGTAACAAACGAAGGCTTGGAAAAGCCAGATGCTTCCATCGAATCCGTTCCCGTTCATTCTTCCTACTACCGCTTCTTCTTCTTGCTAAAAAGAAATCAAGTAGCCATAAAAGAGAAAGAGAAAGAGAGAGAGAGAGAGAGAGAGATGGCGGAAGATTCACAAATAAAAATAGTGAATGGTGCTGCTGGTTATGTTCTTGAAGATGTGCCTCACTTAACTGACTATATTCCTGATCTCGCTGTAATGTGATCCTCCTTTTTTCATTTTTTTTCCTTCGACACACTGTCTACTCTTATGTACGTATGACTATACGTATTTTAGCAATGTACGAATCGGTGCTTTTGATTGATTGATTATGTTCGCTGCACACAAAAGGACTAAAGCATTCGCTTTCTTTCTTTCTTTCTTTATTATAATCTTGTTTGCTTAATCAGTAGATGAACTTAAGATTTACTGCTAAGGTTCTTCAAGTTGAGGATTTTTTTTCCTTGTGGCAGACGTATCCGAATCCGTTGCAAGACAATCCAGCTTATTCAGTAGTCAAGTGAGTGAAAATTTTGATTTTTAAGTTATAGTTGGCACAATTGAGTTGTTGCCTTGTGGTTTTTGCAGTTGTTACTGGTGGTTTTTTTTGTCGATTTGAAAAAATTAATGGAGTGATTTCTTTTGCGTCCGTTTGATTTCAGGCAGTACTTTGTTAATGTGGATGATACTGTTGCCGAAAAGGTTAGTTACTCTGTTAATGTCGATTTCATTTTGTTTGATGTTTGTAACTTTTGATGAAGGCTATTGGGTGGTAATGTGTTTATTTCAATAAATGATTTATAGATTGTTGTTCATAAGAACAGTCCAAGAGGAATACACTTTCGACGTGCTGGACCACGTCAAAAGGTATGTCTATCTCTTACAGATTGCTGTCTGAATATGTTGAAATGTGATGTAAAGCATATTTTTATGGTGCTTATGTGCTCACTGATAAGAGCTTGTTGTTCTACTCAGGTGTATTTTGAGTCAGGTGAGGTGCATGCGTGTATAGTGACTTGCGGGGGTTTATGTCCTGGCCTCAACACAGTGATCAGGGAAATTGTGTGTGGCCTTTACAATATGTATGGTGTCAACAAGGTCCTTGGGATTGATGTGAGTGATTGATTTCTATCATGCTTTAAATTCACATTAAGTAATTGTAGTATCTCATAGTTGATGCATAAACATGGTTTTGACAAAAGACAGTTTGGTAATCCAATTCTTGCATTTTTCTCCTTTACAGCATGCATTGGGGTTGTTTTTGCTTTATTTGTTGGATTTTTTTGTTTAAAACATATTGCTTCTCATAAATTAAGAATTTGAATATATTGGGTAGTGAATTCAAAGAATGAAATGTATCAAAGTTTGAGATTTTGCACTTTAAAATTTGGTGATGTCACAAACTCACCGGCATGATCTGTTGTTTTAAATTGTAGGGAGGCTACAAGGGTTTCTATGCCAAGAACACCATTACTTTAACTCCTAAGGTTGTCGATGACATCCATAAACGTGGTGGTACAATCCTGGGGACATCAAGAGGTGGTCATGAGACATCAAAGATAGTTGACAGTATTCAGGATCGTGGGATTAATCAGGTCAGTATAAGGTATGATTTCTTTGTAGATTTTGAAAAAGAAAAAGGAATTTTGAGTGCCTTAATAATTTAAATTTCATTTTTCACTGTAGCTTGGGCCTACAACTTTCATGTAAAGGCACTGATCATCTCCTCTTATGGTCCAGGTTTATGTAATTGGAGGTGATGGAACTCAAAAAGGAGCAGCAGTGATTTATGAGGTAAGCTTTATGTGTAACAGTGAATTTGTTCAATACCGAACATAACATACTACTAGCTGCAAATGATATATTAGACTCACAGGGACACATAGTTTGAAGGATTACTGCTGCTTGAATAAAAGGAATTCTTAAATGCGTGCAGAACTACACATTTCCATTGGCTCTTTTCTCTTCTCCTCTTATCAACATCTTCTTCATGGACTTTCAGCTACTGTCAGCATAACATCATTTTTTTGCTGTTTTAGCTTGAATGGAATTACTTTACTTTGTTACCAATTAATTCAGTGGTACCACCCTTAACAGGTTCCTTTTTTCTTTTGTTTTGTACAATGTTAGTAGGTTTCAATTTTTACACACCATCATGCATTTCTCTCCATGTTCAACCCCAAAAACCTGTTGCCTCAGGATAAAAGGAACTTCTGAATTCAGTATACATATAGTTTTGCTACTCCATGCCTGCAGAAATGTTCTTAGCCTGTGTTGGCTGATCTTTTTAACATTCTGGCATACCATCTTGTACATCTCTGATATTGCTTTTCATTTTATGTTCGATTGCCATCTGTCAATGCCTTTGATTAACTAACTGTACACATTGTTGCCTTCATGTGTTTGCTAAATTTTGAACAAACTGCTTCTTGGTGTTCAGGAAATTAGAAGACGCGGCCTCAAAGTTGCAGTTGCTGGAATTCCCAAAACCATTGATAATGACATTCCTGTACTTTCATTGACACTTCTTTAGTTGTGATATCATCGATTTCTTTTCTGTCATGTTTCTGTGTAACCCACATTAAATATGGGATAAATGATGTTACATTGAGTGTTCTTATTATGATTCAGGTCATCGACAAGTCCTTCGGTTTTGATACTGCAGTCGAGGAAGCTCAACGTGCAATTAATGCAGCACATGTTGAGGCTGAAAGTATCGAGAATGGCATTGGTGTTGTGAAGCTGATGGGACGCTACAGTGGTAAGTTGAGGCATAGACAGATACAATCATACAATCTCTGACAACCATGTCACACATTAAACCTCTCCATGATTGTTTTATCATTTCACGATTTCTATACCAGCGCTGGCCTTTCTCCAATCTATTGGGAATTATGGATACAGGTTTCATTGCAATGTATGCTACTCTTGCCAGCCGAGATGTGGATTGCTGTTTGATTCCTGAGTCACCCTTCTTTCTTGAAGGAAAAGGTGGACTATTTGAATTCATTAAAAATCGCCTTAAAGAAAATGGACACATGGTTATCGTTCTTGCTGAAGGAGCAGGACAGGATCTTCTTGCGAAGAGCTTGCAATCTATGAACCAGCAAGATGCTTCAGGAAACAAGCTGCTTCAAGATGTTGGGTTGTGGATATCTCAGAAAATTAAGGTGTTGACAGAACATAAAGAGATTTCTCATATTATCACTTTTGTTCCCTGTTTTTGTGATTGCTTTGTGACTTTCAATGTCATGGCTATCTTATGAAATTGCAATCAATATCTTAGTTTTGTTGAGCAACCAGTAATTTACTTTTCCCATTTTCTTATGCAGCTGAACAAGCAATCCTTTCTTTTTTCCCCTAGCAAAGGTCCTTTAAATGATATTTTTCTTTTACAAGAAATGCATTCTAAGTAATGCTCAGCATGGTGATCATTTGATTCAAGTATTATGTGTAGAAAAGATTGAAATCTGTCAATGAATAGTTGTATTGTCTACTTGATGATTTGCTTCTATGCCTGAATGGCATTGCAAACATTTCACACATTTTTTTTTTTTTTTTTGTGTATAAGAGCTCTTCTTTTGTTGGATTTTAAACCTATATATACCATGGTATGATGATCTCAAGCTATTGAATTCCAATGCCTCTTCATATCTTTGATAAAGAGTCGTCTTAGTTGTGTTGATTTTGAAATACCATATCCATTTTTGTACTCTCAGATGAGAAGTTGTGATAATGAACATTCCTTGCAAATTATATGATTTATAGGAAAATCTCCACTGGCTAATTTATTATCCTTTTCTTACCTTCTGTGCAGGATCATTTTACAAGGGAACGTAAGATGGTCATAAATCTCAAATATATAGGTATATGACTTAGATTAACCTTCTTTGTTTATTGTCTTAATGCTGTAATTCAATTCAGGTGCAAATGCGTGCCACTTTGACCCAACCATCTTGCAGATCCTACGTACATGATACGTGCTGTTCCAAGCATTGCATCTGATAATGTCTACTGCACACTCCTTGCTCACAGTGCAGTTCATGGAGCAATGGCCGGGTATACAGGCTTTACAGTTGGACCTGTCAATGGTCGACATTCTTACATTCCTTTCAAGGTAAGTTCCTTTATGTCCCTAAATAAGTCCAATACTTATTATGGAATTAGTTGATGATAAAAACCAGCAGCTGTTATAGATTTTTGTTTTTTCCATTCAGAAGGCCCATTAACTTGATACTGACTGCAAATTCACGTTGTTTCTCTCTGCCTCTTTATTGCTAGTCATGAATTCGAAAATCATGCAATCACAGCTGCAAGTCTCAGCTCTCTCTCTCTCTCTCTCTCTGTTCTGTTAAAATTGCAATACCAATCACCAATGAACAAAGCAATAAACAAACAATCACATTTAAAATTAAGATCAAGATGCTAAATATAAATTGGAAAATCCCTTACTGTAATGGAAAAAACCATGTGATGAAGTCAAGTCAGTTTTCCACCATCAACTACAAAAACTACCATCACACTTCGTCTCTAGTTGAAAATAGATGATGCTATGAGAGAATAGATCATCAGGAATATAATTTCCTAGCTAACAACATAATATCATCACTTGAAGGAGTATTAACAACTAACAATAATTATAGAAATTCACTAAAGTGGAGGAAAAGGAAAGCATAGGCAAGACCATAGAATTGGAGCTTATAATGCCAAGAAAACATTTCATAACAAAGGAACAACAAATGACCTTGCGATTGTCCAACTGAAGTAGCCCCTCTCCTCTCCACTTTCTTCTTCCTGGACACACTTGCAAAAGCTGTTATTTTTGGGTCTCAGTAATATACCAAAAAAAAAAAAAACATCTTTTGGCTCTTCTGAATACTTGACTCTTAACAAAGGCGCACAATACGTGGATTTTAAATCATTCACTATTTCTTTTACAAGTAAAATAGCTTAGAGCCCTCATCACGAGTCTGATGGGCAGATTGCTAGTTGGGTCTCCTCGTGCTGGAGATTTTATTGGCCAGACTTGTCCTGTGAATGACTTGGTGGGTTGAATGTATTTGATTCAACAAATCACTTCCTGTGCTCTTTATGATTTAAACCTATTACATGTGCTGCTCTTATTGTCTTCTCTCCATCATTTCTTGTTTACTTTTCCATTTATGTTAAAACCGTTGTAAAGAATGAGCTTCTTTTTTTTTCTTTTTTTTTTTTCCCTTGAAATTGACTGCAAAGACTAATGCCACCATAATATCTTACAAAACATAAAGATGTAAAAACAACAAATGCTTTCTCGATTTTCTAAGTTGCAAATCAGTTCCAAGTTCTGCAATCTTGCCTCATTAAACTAATATTGCCCTTGATGATGCCATTAACTACAATAACCTTGAAACTCACCTGTTTTTGGTCGTTTAAAGAACAGAACATAAAGAAAGAGAAATAAAACTTTGCTCAATAGATTATTACAATGAAGTAACACCCTCAACAAATCAGAAACGGGGCCAAAAATAAACAAAAAATAAAAAGGAGCTAAAACGGTAAAATGAGAGATCTGTAGCAATTGCTTTGTTTAAAAAATTTGCATGTGTTTCCTTTGTACCAAAAAGTAATAATTAAAAAAAAAAAAAACAAATTGCATGTCTTGGTGATTTGTTATCGGAGTTGTGGTTTGTTGGATCGTGAATGGAGTCTTGCCTTGGTTTTGGTAGAGTTGCCTTGATGTGTTTTTGGGAAATCCTTTATGATATGTGATGTGTTGTTTGAACTTTTCTTTGTTTTTTGATTTTGAGGGAAAACATAAAATATAATATGATCGATAGATTTGAAGCTTTTCTTTATTTATGAAAACATTGCAAGATGTGGTACTTTCACTTGCATTGCATAAGAATAATAAAACCATTAAGAGGGTTACACAAGACCTAACCTTATCGAATATGTTGGCTAACCAAATCATTCCCTAGGCATGCAGTTGCATTTAGCTTTGATATGAGGACTTAAGTGTCAACGTAGCTTTAGAAGTTACCCAAAGCAGTCTTAAATGCTTCCACCCTCTCTATTGTATAAATTGTATCATTTATCACCTTCTCTCTGTGATGGAATATTATTTGGGAAAAAGATGTTGATTTTTCGACACCTTGCTGATGGTTAATTTATTGATTTTTGTTTGCAGCGCATTACAGAGAAGCAGAAACAGGTTGTAATTACTGACAGGATGTGGGCAAGACTCCTTTCTTCAACTGACCAGCCAAGCTTCATATGCCCCAGAGTTGTTGCTGAAAGCAGGAAAAATCACGACGAACCTCCGACCCAGTTATTGGATGGCGACAGCTGTAAGGAGACACACGAGTAATATTGAGAGATTCCTGGCATGATATTATGCTTAGTGGATTGATATTTGTAATGATGTCTGTCATAACCATCAGCCACTTCTAACCAACATCATACCCCGCTAAACCTCAGGTCACAGGAATAGATATCTTTGGATTTGCTTCGTAGTATTTTTCACGTTTAGCTATTTGTTGTGTGGGTAGATTTTCTTGTAAACTTGCTCGTGACAGAAATGTATATAAATATAAATATCAATATGAAATATCTTGTGTTCTGGAATCAAAGAAAGATATTTATGAAAGATATTTTTAATGCTTTTATATGTTTTTATTACGTTTTATGTTGTGATTTGGAATAAACTTTTCTATGTGGAATGGAGGAAGGAAATAGTAATTTATTCTACACCAACTCATGGAGTAAAACAACCAGGACCAAGAGAACAAGTAGCAGAAAGCCATGAAAGATTTTGGACTGAATGGTTACCAAAGAGAAGGGGCTAAAAGTTGATGCTGAAGAGCAAGTTTAGGCGGAATTTTTTCCATCTTTTATTTAGGCTTTTATTTCATGTTTTGATACTTAATTTTGCCTTGATAGATTATGGATTGTATTATTTTGACTGGGTTTAAATTTAAAAGTCCAAGTTATTATTTCTTTAGGTTTAACTGAATTTTACGTTAAGTATAAAAGGTTTTTTTTATTGATTGACAATTTTGATTGAGTTTTGAAAAAAAATGTAAGGACATTTTTCTTTTTCAAATCGCTTTTTTGGTTTTATAGAACACATTTTTATCGATCATTAGTTTTGAGAAACTAAATGTGTTGTATCTATATCTTTGAGTTTTTGATGTACCTATCCTTCGAATCTCGATATATATTTTCAAGTGCATTGTGCTTTGCATATATTTAACCGAAACTAAGAATTGTATTGATTTACAACCTTATTAGTTTTAGCTTAATTCTAATTTTATATAAGATTGTAATTCTCTTTTTATTTTGGTTTTGTAAAAGGTGTCGTAACTTGAGATATAGGATTTGCGATTTTTAGATTAATTTGAAACTATGTTAATTATATTTGTTAGGCCTAATTAGGGCTATGTTGAAATTTGGCAAATTTTTTACAACTTTAGACTTTAACTCATTCCAAGTTCATAAGGTTTTTGGGTTTATGTGTTATTGTGATTATTAACTTTGTTTGTAATTTTCGCGCTTGATTTTGGGGTTTGTTTCTAGATTGATTGTATATTAATTTAGTGTTGATTTGAATTCAGATTGTTATTGGATTGTGGGGTTGAAGTTTCTTATTGCTTGCATTTGTTGTCAAATTATTTGTTATATTGGTCGAAGGTTTCAACCTAGAGAGTGTTTGGAGTACTTGTGAGTTTTGTGCATCATTTTCACGGAGTTCTAGTGTTAAATTGGTATTAGAGCTTAAAAAAGTTTCTATTTGTGTGATCGATGTTGTTATGAAGATGCCTCCTAGAAGAACACCAATTACTCATATAACTATAGTTGAGTTATAGATGTAGATGACCCGAATGATGTATATAATGGAGGAAATTAAACACTAACTTTCAACGACTCCTAATGTAGAGGGTTAAGAGATAGAGGGCCTTGAAGGAGAAGGCCATGATGTTGTAGATTAGAGAGTAGAAGATTGAAGGTTAGATGGTGAAGGAGAAGGGATTCGGCTAGCGAATCCATTTCATGACCAACCTATTGATACTTCGAGTATGATGAGGTTGCACTTTATTGAGATGGGCTTTAAAAGACATAATTACCATCTCAAGATTTTGGCATTAAAGTGAAAATCCCAAACTTCAAAGCTAAGTTAGACCCTAATGATTTTATAGAGTGGTCGCATACAATTGAGAGTTTTTGAGTTTAGAGAGGTGCTTGAAGATAAAAAGGTAAAGTTAGTAGCTATTAACCTTAAGAAGAATGCATTTATATGATAGAAAAACCTCAAGCAACAAACAATTTGCAAGGAGAAAGCAAATATTACTACTTGGGAAAAGATGAAGGAGGTTCGAAACGTAAGTATTTGTCTAAGTATCACATACAAGACATTCACATAAAGCTTCACTCATTCAAATAGAATACCTTGAGTGTAGAGGAGTATGTAGCGAGTTTGAGCAATTGATGCTTAAATGTCATGTGAATGAGCTAGAAGAACATTGAATTGCATGGTTCCTAAGGGGGATGAAAAATGAGATATCTAGTATGGTTCAACCGCAACAATACCAAATACTTCAAGATTGCATCAAGTCGGCGATAAAAGTGGAGAGGCATTAGAAATTCATAAAATAGGTTGGAAGATTCATGATCAAGGAGCCAACTCTTAGTCAAAAGGTTTCGCCTAGAGTTCTTACATTTAATCATAACATAGTTCGATTAATAATGACGTTAGAGGTAGTCGCAGGTAAACCTACTAGACCTAATCCTACAAGTTTCGATGCTTAAAGGCGTTATAAGAGCCAAGGGTTTAGGCATATTATATTTGATTGCCCAAATAGAAAGATTATCAACTTGGTTGAGGAAGCCAAATGTGATCAATCTAAATAAGAGAAAGAGGAGAAAAAATGATAGTCAAAGTAGAGGGGAAGTTGTATGAGAATGTGGATGAGTTGTAATGATGAATCGAGTGAACGACTCGATATCATTGACCTAGAATGCAAGTGGCAAAGAAACAATATCTTCATACACCCCGTACTATGTATGACAAGGTATGTGATATAATTATTGATAGTAGCGCATGTGAGAATGTTGTTTCGATGACTATGGTTGAGAAATTAGGATTGGATATAGTGAATCATCCCAAGCCCTACATTATGACTTAGGTGATTAAAGCGATAAGCTTTCTCGTGACAAAGAGGTGTCATGCGAGTTCTCCATTGAGATGACCTATAAAGACAAAGTATGGTGTGGTGTCATTCCTTTGAAATTGAGTCACATCCTATTAGATCAACCTTGACGAGTATGATCGAATGGTTATACATGATGGCTACATAAATATTTACACCCTCTAAATGAATGGAGAGATAATCATTTTGATGCCTAAAAGACCAAAGCCTTCGACTAAGACAGGTAGCCTCAAAGGTAAACCCAATGTTCCTTTGTTATACTTTGATAAATTGAAAAGGAATGTTAGAGATTATGATTCGGATTAGTTAGGTAGATCTAAGAGTATGTGTAGTTTAGATCAATTGATAGGAATGGAGTTGTGTTCGGTTCTAATGTATGTGATAGGTATGAAGAGTATGTAAATTGAACCACTTAGGTATGATGAGTACAATGATGGAGATGTTAATAACCCTTATGTTATTAATATTGGGGAACATGAGAAGACTATTATCAAACTTAGTAATTTAGTACATAGGGAGACCACCAAGCATGAGAAAATCAAAATAAGAGATGTTAGAGAAAGTGTGGAGGACATGAGGGTGTGATTGAAGCTGAAAATTATGTTACTATTTTAGGAGAGATAAAGAAGAAGGTTAGAAAGGTAGTCCTATATGGTGTGTATGAGTTTCGTATGGTAGAGATTGATGCAAAGCCGGTGCCAATCCTAGGTTACATAGGATAAGAGGGTTTATGAAAGTTAGTGAGTTTAAGAGGTTGGTGGTGTTTCAAGAAGGAGACTTGATTTGGTTTCACATGAGGAAGAAATGATTATCTAAAGGATGATATGCTAAGTTTAATAAAGTAAATGGATTGTTTCCTATACTAGAGAGAGTTGGGGAAGACTTGTACAAAGTGTAGCTTTAAAGAAGTTATGTGATTTCAGCTACTTTCAAGATGTTTGACCTTGAGCTCTATATTGATGATGATGAAGAGTATGAGTCTAAGGTGACATTTGATAAAAATAAAAATTAAATGCTGGATCCGTTAAGTATTGAATTTTAAATGTTGAATAATTAAGTACCGAATATGCTTGCTTATAAACTCGTTTGGTGTTTACCGAAAATTAGTTATTGAATATAATAAGATTATTTGATAAGTACTTGTTGCTGAACATATTAAGGCTATATGCATGATAATTTTAACATTATAATTGCAACATGATATTTTCTAACACAAATAAAAATATATACATAGGTGTATTTATATGTATAAATAAATAAATAAAAATAATTATTAATAAAAAATTTAAACATGGTCTAAGATAGTATTAATTATCTTATCTTGCACAAAATAAATGAAATCTCAAGTACTAATCAATTCATTTAAAAGCAATTTCTATTTTGGAAAAGAAAATGCATTTTTTTTCTATGATTACTTAAAATTAATATAATTATGATATGGTCCAATTTAGACATGATGAGATAAATCGATAATAATAATAATATAAAGTAAATGTAATTAACAATTATTAATAAAAAAAATAACGCTTGAGAGGGATGATTTAAGTGATATGAGTTCTAGTCGTTTAAACAAATGATTTTATGTTCGAGTTTTTGTGTACGTAGAAAACTTCTTGGGTAGTTATACTCACATTATGCATCCGATAAAATAGCAAAAGATTAGTCCGGTTATTTAGATTCTCATATTACGCATCCGATAAAATAGTAAAATATTAGTCTGGTTTTTTAGATTTGAAATATCTTGAGATCTAACAAAAACAAAAAGCAACTAGATTGAGATATATATTTCATGTGATCTTGAGATCTAAAATATTATTACTAAAACCATTGTAAATGTTATAATGTAGATGGAGTTATTAGAATCCTACAACTTTTGGAATGGTAAGATGGAAAAATGGATCATAATTCTTTTTTCTATTTATCGATTTTAACATATAATTCCTTGGGTGCAAATTATCAAGATAAAGCCATAACACAAGCCTTCTTACTTCGTGAGAAAATAGATGGCCATGATACAATTGTTCGGCCTTTAGAGGTATATAACCTTTTGATGCGGACACTTGAAGCTTCGACTTTAATCTCTCTTGGAATGAAATTCCCGATGTTGCAAGGATTCATGAAGGATTTATGAAAGATCCGGGATTACAAAAGTGCATTGGTT